TATCCCCGACCCGAAGGCGCGGGGAAGTGGCCCTCTAGTTCAACTCGTCAACCATTCAGGCACAAAACCTAATCATATAGCCTGGGTTTTTCAGGCATAGCAATGATGTCAGATGAATGCATGCTGATTTCCTTAAGATAAAAATGTAAATTTTATGGATGTTTGATTTATTTGCTATGCAGATTGAAAGTCCTTTGTGGTTCCCCAAAGCCTGAAACTGTGAGAATTAATTGAAAACTGCAGTAGTTTTATGAGAGGCTTTCATAGCTTCAGCTGCAATGGGTTTGTGCATGTTTTCAGTTTTCCAAGTAATTTGATTTATGCCTGTGTAAATAGTAACTCTATGTCATGTGCCTCTGCGTGAGTGTCCGCAGTTTGTTGATCTGCTGTGTCTCATAGGGCAGCCACTGTAGAAATGTCTAGTTCTACTTTTCATGCAGAAAAATACTTCCACTGATACTGATACTAAATTAGAAATCACTCTGAATCGCACCATAATTTTCTAATCACTGAGGATAAAGGGGCTTAATTGAGAGAATTAACATTTAGCACAGCAGCACACCTGCATTTATGACTTCTTACTCTTGTTTTTATAGGAAGCTTGCTTGACTTCCTCAAGGAAGGTGATGGAAAATACTTGAAGCTTGTCTTGCTGGTAGACATGGCGGCAAAGGTGAGATGAAACGCTACACATCTGCAATTTTTGTTTCACAGGTGCAGAATTTGTGCTATTAAGTTTTGAACTCTATTTTAAGCTTCAGATTTAAAAAAAAATTATTACAGCCTCAGGTAAAAATGTCTTCCTCTTCCATATTTGCAACACTTTGCTTTGGTTCTTTTACTCATGCACTCTTTATGTCTGACAGAGCGCTTGATGAGGGTGAGAAGTAAAAAAAATGATTTGTGTCAAATGTTTTGCTTTTAGATCGCTGATGGCATGGCTTTCATCGAGAGGATGAATTACATTCACCGGGATCTTCGCGCTGCCAACATCCTTGTGGGTGATAACCTGGTGTGCAAAATCGCTGACTTTGGCCTGGCCAGGTTGATAGAGGACAATGAATACACTGCCAGGCAAGGTTGGTGCATGCACATCCACACACATGCTGTACAGCCTGAGTCACTGCTACATGGGGTGTGATGTGGCCTTACCTCTCCTTTCCATCAAACACAGGAGCTAAATTCCCCATTAAATGGACGGCCCCAGAGGCTGCGCTGTACGGCCGCTTCACCATCAAATCAGACGTCTGGTCCTTTGGCATCTTACTCATTGAGCTTGTCACCAAAGGCAGAGTGCCCTACCCAGGTACAGCATCAACACACACATACACTGGCTGTTAATAAAATGGCATCAAAGGACAGTGATTCACAACCAGAGTTATTAGCTCTCAGTCTGTCAATAGACATTAAGCCGGCACGCTTGTTAACGTCAGAGGATGAAGTGATGCTGTCTGACATTGTCTGTGCTGATTGTTTATGCCTCAGCAGGGGAGACACTGACATCTACACACACACACATCTGAGATTAAACAAGTATATCATTGTAAAGTGTTGGTCAGAGAAACTCTATTATCCCCACAAGTCGCCCTGATGGGCACTTTTTTAAACATTTTATTTACTAAAATGGTAACTAATAAATTAGTAAATCAAATCAGTCACTGATCTCATTTTTTGATAAAGGACTGACATTAAAAAATATCTAGTTAGGAATGTGATCCTACTTAAGGAGAGTCTGGAAAACATGAGCATCAACTGATTGCTTCCTTTCTAATTTCAGCTTTCTTTTTGGATTATAGAACCCTACTGTAAGGCCAAGAAACAATACTCAGCTAAAAGTTGTAACAGCTGTCTCCACCTTGGTGCCCTCTCCTCCTCAGGTATGGTGAACCGGGAGGTGCTGGAGCAGGTGGAGCGAGGCTATCGCATGCCTTGCCCCCAGGGGTGCCCCGAGTCCCTGCACGAGATGATGAATCTCTGCTGGAAGAAGGAGCCAGATGAGAGGCCCACTTTCGAGTACCTCCAGTCCTTCCTAGAGGACTACTTCACCGCCACAGAGCCACAGTACCAGCCTGGAGA